TCTCTCCCTGTCTGTGTGTCTCATGGAGAGCAAGCTGGGGTCTGTGAAAAGACAAATTCCTAATCCAAGAAACTGTATAGGGCCAATAAAGGGATCTGATCTTATTAGCGCAACCCAAAGACATGATTCTGCACAGAGCTGACGACAGCTCCCAAATCCTGAACCTTTAGCCACCCACACCATCTAGCTCATCCCTGCATCAACTTACTAACAATATAAAAAGAGCAGTCTTACGGAAGCGCATCGCTGCCACCAAGGGAAAAAAAAAATTTGCCCCCCCATCTCGGAATTCTGAGATGGTAATCGTCACGGACTTTATGTGATCGTGCGATAGCACAATTGTCATACGATACCTATCCCGCTACGTGCGGACTTGCAGTTTTAGGCAGTGGAATCGATCGCCCGGATCACTGTTCACAATGGAACCATCATTACTTTGATCTCTAAATCCCACAAAACCGGTCCTCATGCTTACAACGAATCTGTTCCGATTTGCTAAAAATGGCACGATTTCATTAGGACTAAACCCCAGTCGAAAAGTCAACCTGGATAAATCCTGCAGCGCTGGACACCGACACGATCATTAAAACCGAAAGGGCCAGCCAGGAGTAGGGTAGCTTCTACAGGCGTTCAATGCACAACGTAACAGGATGTACATACAACGGCGTAATCATCGCGATTTATTTTTCCCTTGGTGGCAGCAACGCGCCTCCGTCCGTCCGAGCTCCTCTACGGTTTGGGTCTTCGTCGAGATAGAACCGGCTACTGTCCCCCGGGCTTGGCCGCTTAAGGCCTCGGGGGCCAGGCCAGCAGGCACGCGGCCAGACGGTCCAGACGGCCGGAGCGCGCGGCTCGGACTCACGTAGCGGGCCGGTCCTGTCGCAGGTCGATCCCGAAGACCACGGCGTCCTCTCCGGCCGACAGGAAGGAGCAGGGAGAATCCGGCTCCAGGGCTAGCTGAGAGGGAGACAGAGGTAGGGTAGGGAGGAAGTGGGGGGGGCTGGGAATGAGCGAGCTGGATCTTGGTATTTCCATTTTCCCGCCATACTCGCTCACTAAGAACACAAGAATTGAAGATTAACAGGGGAGAAGAGGCCATGCTG